AGGAGGATCACTTAAGCCCAGTAGTTTGAGACTGCGGTGAGCTATAATTGCGCCACGGCACGCCAGCCTGGGTACAGAACAAGTCCCTGTCTCTCTCAAAAAAAAAAAAAAAAAAAAAAAAGAAAAAAAATTAGACGTAAGCATCTTATTTACAGAAGCGGAGTAATTGACCTGAGTGTAAGAAGTGTGGCTGGCAGTAGCCACAGAGATACACCGAATGCAGGGAACCGTGGATCTGTTTACCTGGCTCGGGAGTTGGCTGCTGCCTCGTCCTCCACTGTTTATTCATCCCACAGGTGAACAGTGGCATCGCAGCCACTCCAGCCTCTGCTGCAGCAGCCACCCTGGATGTGGCTATTCAGAGAGGCCTGTCCCACGGAGTGCAGAGGTAAGCTTCACTTGACCATCCGGAGCCTCTGAGGGCAGGACCTGTGGGCACCCCTATCCTGGCTGGCCAAGCAGAGAGAGCTCTGGGAATGGACTCTGGACAATAGGAACACCTGTCCTGAGGCCAGCTCTTCCTCCAGGCTGCTGTGTGTGGCCCTGGGACAGCTGGACCGGCCTCCAGACCTCGCCCATGACGGGTAGGACTCTCACGTCTTGCATCTGTCCAGCCATGGATGTGAATGGGCATGCGACGGATGTGTGCCTGGGCCCCAGGGTGACGGGTGGGTGGGGCACTTGGTACTGAATGGAGCCTTCCTCAGCTGGGGTTTGGGAGAAGGGCTGCTACAGGCAATGCCAGGTGGGTCTCCAGCACAGAGGCTCAGCAGTCACAGCACCCCTGCCCATGGCCCTGTGAATGCTCTTCCACCTCTGCCTCTGTGGTCTGGGCTCAGGAGGGTGAGCAGGGCCTTACACTTATGCACATGTGTCCTGGAAGGAGGACTCTGTGGCTGAACATCGGGGGCAAGGAGGCAGCCGCCCTATCCATGTTCCATGTCTCCACGCCACTGCCAGTGGTGAGTGACCACGCCACGTGGCAAGGCAGGTGCTGGGGAGCCCATGGATGTGTGCCGCTGCTGCTTGCTGGCATGTCATGATAGCAGGCCTCTGGTCCTTCCTGTCTCCCTGCTCCTGCTCCAGGGGCCCTGAGACTGAGAGGTTGGGGGGCCAGAGCCAGCAGGTGTCTGTAGATGAGGAGCTGGGCTCTGCTGTCCCCACAGATGACTGGTGGCTTCCTGAGCTGCATCTTGGGCTTGGTGCTGCCCCTGGCCTATGGCTTCCAGCCTGACCTGGTGCTAGTGGCACTAGGGCCTGGCCATGGCCTGCAGGGCCCCCACGCTGCACTCCTGGCTGCCATGCTTCGGGGGCTGGCAGGGGGCCGAGTCCTGGCCCTCCTGGAGGAGGTAAGCTGGGCAGGGTGGAGGTGCTGTGGGGTGGGATGAGGGGAAGGACCAATGACTGCTTCCGTCTTCGCCCCTGGCCCAGGACTCCACACCCCAGCTAGCAGGAATCCTGGCCCGGGTGCTGCGTGGAGAGGCACCTCCTAGCCTAGGCCCTTCCTCTGTGGCCTCCCCGGAGGACGTCCAGGCTCTGATGTACCTGAGAGGGCAGCTGGAGCCTCAGTGGAAGATGCTGCAGGTGAGGCTGATTGCGGAGGCATGGCTCTGCCCTGGGGCCCGGCTCTGCCGCAGAGGTAGGTGGGGAGGGCAGGGCAAGTGAGTGCTGAGAACCAGCTCCAGTGCAGGAGGCCAGCTGCGCGCCTCCTCCCGGCTCCTCCTCCTGTAGTGCCGTCCTCACCTGGTGGCTTGAA